AGATCCTTCAGTTTCACTGATGATGGCTATCAGCATAGACTCTCTGTCTGAGGGTCATCACATTCCTAAGGAACTCAAAAGAACAAAGTTATCATCTTATCACAGCTGGGAGGTATGTGTACTAGCAGGGGTCATAAAATCTACAGAACAAGTGGATCTCCTGGAGGGTGCAAATCCAACTGGGTTAGTTAGTCGGAGGCTGTTCAAAGTTACAGCATGGTCTCTTTTCTACAATATGGCTTCCCTGTGTCAACCTTGTGTTGAGCCATTTTCACCCTTATGGACTGGACCCCTTACAACTAATTCTCCTGAGAGCTGGCATGGCCAGACAGAGAGAGTGCTGCTTATGGCTTTGTATCTCACTACCCTATTCTATGCAACTGATGACTAAAGTGCACCCCTATAAGTGCACCTTCTAGATGGTGGAGAGCAAAGATAATACTGTCACTGGTCACACAAAGACAAGCTCTCAGGACATAGGACAAGATGAAAGGAAAAGCGTCATCCAGTTTTTACATACAGGAACAGCAACAAAGTTTGTCTAAACAGATGCCAGTCTGGTGAGAACCGTGAGCTCACCAGCCTGTGAGGCCAACTTGAACAGTAGGCTTTTAGGGCCTATGCCTTCATTCTATCCTGTGGTTTTTCCTCCTTATGACAAACAACACAACAGACAGAGACAAAGAAAAACAATGGCCATCTCTGGGAGGTAAAGATTCAACAAAAATTAATAGTAGTATTCTAACAAAGTTTTTACCAGAGTTGGCAAACTTAAGGAACTAGTTACACAAATGTTTTCTCCTGCCAATCTAAATTTAGAAAAGGAAGGGACAAGATATTTTTACGTTCCTCTCTCAACCAGGCATACAGAGAGATCTGGGAGAGCGGACTTTGTTAAGAATTCTTACCTTCTGCCAGCACTTGTCAGAAGTCCCAGGATCTCTCAGCTGCAACAGCCCTGGAGCAAGCATTGTCCAGCCAATGAAGTTTATCCTGCCAAATACATCAGTTGTTGGAGAGGAAATATTTTTCCTCTACCCTTCTAGGTTATCTTGGCTTGTCTAATAATTAAATTGACAGAAGACAAATCAACAGGAGCAAAACAAACAAATTTAATTTGTACATATGGAGGTCTCATAGGTATGGAAACTGAGAAGTGACTGAAGCAGGCTGTTTTATACTTTTCAATTACTTGTGAAGATTTAACAAAACAAAGGGATATGGGCTTGGGGGAGCAAATTAATGAAGAAGTAACAAAGTTTATTAATACTTCTTCCTCAGCCCCAAATTTCTTATCTCTGGCGTTAAGGATGCTCCCCATCCTCCCAGTATAGGGAGAGTACTTTCCCATGAGAGCTTTGTTTCCTGCTTTTGGAGGAACAAAGGAGAGTTAAAGAGTTCTTCTTGCACTGGCTGTTTCTCAAGTAACTTTGATTCAAAATCATCAAGATCTTACTTTGGGATATTTTGGGGCAGTCTGCCCTGAGCCCCATCACATCATGAAGGCAAATCCTTCAGTACCCACTTGAAACACTTCATTCCATAGGCTTCATAAGCAGGTTTATCAGGCCAGATCGGGGAACAGACAACAAGCTTTCTTGTCGCACCCCAGAACCACTTATCTCTGCCTTCAGGTGTCAATATATAATTCTCCCACACTAGGAAACTTGTTTTTGTTGAAATGAACCCATGAAAATATGCATGCACACTACCACCAAAGACACTAGGAAATTCCTAAGATTAGAATCATCTAGTTGTCTTCCCACAGAGCTAAATACAAAACATTTTACATGGTTAAGGTAAGGATCAAATCAGAAATTAGAAAATTTCTTATCAGTATGATCAAGTCTGAGAGAGAGAACTGCGCTATATTAAGGATAATTTTAGTTTTGGAAGGAAATTTTCTAGACTCTCCCTCCAATAACAACAACAAAAAAATGAAAACTGGATCCAAAGTACAATTTGAAAATATTTTCCCCAATATTTTTAAAGTTATTTTAACTTTGTAGAATTGACAAAAAGACAAATACAATTTATTTGAAAATAAAACTAGTCATTATTATCATATGTATTGGTATGATTCTAATGTGTTAACCAGAGGTTACAAAGAACTCCTTTGCAGTCTAAGTCCACTTGTAAAGCTATGAGAGTTCTAAAGCTCAGGACCTGAGAACATTTTGCCAAGTAAAACTCCCTGTAGAAGGGAAGATGTTTGAACTCTTTGATGCATAAGTTAATTTAATTCCTTCTGAACACTAATTAGTTCTTTAAAGCTATAATGTATATTGAACTGCTTTCTTTAATTAAATTTGCTAATGAAAGTATCTGATGACAACATCTCCTACAATTGCAGATAAATTAAACTTTTAGTGTTTTTTAACCTCTTTTTGCCATTTTGATGTGATTAAAAGCATATTTAGAGTTCAACTCCAAATTATGAGATTAAATTGCTGTTTTATGTACATACTTCTTATTGTTTTAACAAACATTAACTCCAGCTCCAGTTATTAAAGATTACTCAGAAAAGAACATGGTGACAGCTACACTATGAGGTATTAGTCATATGCTGAAGATAAAAGATCAAAAAGATAGATGCAGCCTATGTGGGAACACCATGGAACATCATACCAGTCCTCAACTGACTAATTTCAGACTAGTTTTACATGAGATATAAACCTCAGTCTAAAGTCACTGTTAATGGGGGGGGGAGGGGGTTCTGTGATAATATTATCAAACCTAATCCTAAGTAATACTTCTCAACCCCCATATTGTTCACAGATTGCCTGCATACTAAATTGCAAAAACATAGAGCATCAAAAAGATAACAGTTCCAAATTCCTCAAGCCTACAACATTGTTATTTTTTAACTTATGCAGCAAATATTTACTGAGTTCTACATGTTCAATAAACCCCCGCTTACCCTATTCCATTGAATCCGAAGCTATTCCTTGCTCTGCCTTTCTTAATTCTGTCTCTCCTCAAAATAATACCTTTGTATCCACATCCTTAAAACACTGCATTCCATAGCTTTTTATGTGCACAATTTCCATGTCTATTCACTTTGAAGTACTTTTCTGTTTTCAATGTTTCACTAATTATATTTGTCAATGATAATTTTTTTTTGAGGAAGGTTAGCCCTGAGCTAACATCCACCACCAATCCTCTTCTTTTTGCTGAGGAAGATTGGCCCTGAGCTAACATCTCTGCCCATCTTCCTCTACTTTATATATGAGATGCCTGCCAAAACATGGCCTGATGTGTGGTGTTTAGGCCCCCCACCCGGCAGCCAATCCTGCCAACCCTGGGCCGCTGAAGCAGAGCATGTGAACTTAACCACTATGCCACTGGGCAGCACCGTCAGTGTTACTTTTATGTATGTAAATACATTGTGTAAATGATTTTAATGTGACCCAAACTATTTAGCCCAAATAGCATTTCTTTTTATCTCATCTCAGGAAACAATATAGCTGTAGTAAACAAAGATATATGTTTCTCAATTTTTTAAAATTAAGAATGTCAATTTTCAATTGTCTTTCATCAGTAATACTGGATAACAGAGACAATGGAACTGTAACTTAAAAATGCTTCAAAGAAACTATTTTGACTTTAATATTATATATCATGTCAAATTATCAATCAAACGAGAAGAAATTAAACATATTTACATACTAGTAAGGAAAAGGAAATTTACCTCCAATTTATTTTTCCAGGGAATATTTACCTGTAGTTTTTATCCAGCCAAATATAAACCAATAAAAAAGGAAGGCATGAAACTGAATAAAATGTGGATCTAAATGGAAGTCCAGTGAAAAGAAATCAAAAGGTGGCAAAATATCTGAGAGGCATGGACCACACATAATCCAAACTAGATTTTGAAGTCAGAGTTTTCTGAAGATAATATATTCAAGTTAAATGCATTAACTCAACAAAAATATGACAATGGAACTAGATGAGCTTAGTATAAATACATATGCTCTTTTTGCAAACATGTAAAATAAATGCATTTAAAAACCAGAGAAAATGAGGGCTATGCAGGAAATGCATGACTCAAGTTTGAAGTGTCAGTACTTAAAGCAAGTGAAGAGGTATTAAAAAAAGAGACAGAATCAATTTGACCTTGAGTTCTAGAACAATTTGATTTTAGCAGAAAGATTGAGTGAAAGAATTTTATTTCTTTCAGGGTAGGCAAATTAAGAAGAATAATTTTTCAGGTGCCTTAGGGTTCCAGAAGGAAATAGATGGCTCATTCAATTTAGGATAATTCAAGGAGTGTTAATTAAAGGACTGTTTACAAATGTGTTCAAGGTTTAGAGAAACTGCAAGATCTAATGCAGTACTCCTCTCTAGGAAGAGCAGAGGAGAGGTATTACTGAGCCCTAAGGGACTAGGGATGGAGTATTTTCTGGAATCTGGAAGGAGACAGTAGTTTAGAAAAGGCTGCTTCGAAGAACACTATGATCTTTGGTGAAGGGACAAAGGCCTAAATTTACAAATGATTGTTAATGCTATGGAAGAGGCTAAAATCACCAAAGAAAACAGAATAATGTAAAAGAAAACCTAGAAGTCAAGCCCTTTTATTTTCACTATATGTATATGCCCCCTTTCTTTCTGATTTATGAGGGTGTGCATATTTTCTAATTCATGGTTGTATCCCACAGGACCTAAATATTTCCAGGCATATAGTAGGTGCTCTCAATAAATATTTGACAAATGTATGAATTAAAGACTTGTTTATTAATAAACTATTATCTGTTAGGGGCTATTGTGCTGGGGAATGAGAAACTTAATCAAAACTTTAAGAATTTATTGTGTGTCAGGGAATACCTGAATACTAGTTATTGCTTCCCATATCTACTTTCTTTATAGTTTTGGTCAGCCTCAGGCAGTGCGGTCAAAGCAACAGAACGTCATAGTTGCCAATAGTCTACGCCAATTTTCAGAAGTCTGTCACATCAAAAAGCTTTACCCTAGTTTTACTGCTATTTTTTTCTCCCCTGCAGCAAAGGCCTTCATTTGTTAGAGGCGAAGAAGGTGAGCAGAATAAACATTAACTTATTCTAACTGGCCAAGTCTGCAGGAGATGCAATAGGTCTGAGAGACTGAAATAGGTCAGTAAACATCTTTTATTGGCAAACTCAAGGTCTTCCTTTATGTGTTAAACCCTCAAATTCCCCCTAAACTGTTTCCTGGCCATTCTTCCAATATTGCTTTTCTAATTTTAATTTTGAATATTAAAAGTAATTGCACAGCATGGTTTTCTGAAGTCAGATATATAAAGTTCAGTTTTGCCTTCTTGGTTCAGGCTCCCAAAGTGTTTCACATAGATGCAGAAATATAAACAATATTCAGACTTGTTTTCCTTATTTTACTGATGAAAGCATACACATTGCAGTCCTTAAAATCTTCAAAATATTTATGCCCTCAAAACCAAGTAAGTTCTTTCTGAGACCTCTTAGCAAATATAATTGTAACTCATTTAAGCCTACTTCACTCATACATTATTCTACTGCGATCTATTTCCTCTTTAAATGTGTCACATCTTATCATCAGTATATAACAGATACGTTATTCTTTACTAAATCCATACATACTATATCTTATTCATATTTCCTTATTTTTCCTCTTATGTCCTTTTCTATTCCAGGATCCTATCCAGGATACCACACTACATTTAATCATTACATATCCTTAGGCTCTTTTTGGCCATGACAATTTCTTACACTTCATTGTTTTTGAAGACCTTGACAGTTTTTAAGAGTACTAGCCAGGTATTTTGTAGAATTTACCTCAATTGTGATTTGTCTGGTGTTTTTTTCATGATTAGATCAGGAATATGTATTTTGGGAGGAAGACCACAGAGCTAAAGTGCCATTTTTATCATAACATATCAAGGGGACATGGTGTAGCCCACACTTAAGGAGCGGGGAGCTATGCTCCACTTCTTTGAGGGCTGAATAGCTACATAAATTATTTGGAATTCTCCCGAATGACAGATTTGTCTCTTTTTCTTGGGAAGTATTTAAAAAGATTTTGAGACTCCATCACAGATCTCCTGAATCAGAATTTCTGGAGGTGAGACCTGGGGTTCTGCATATTTAACAAGCTACCCAAAAGATTCTTAGGCAGCAAATCCGGAACCAGTTCTTAAATCCATATTGTGAAACCATTGTATTATGCCATACTGTAAGAGAAAGTTTGGGATTTGAAAAGAAAAATGTCAAAGCAGACATTTAGGGCTTATTAGATTTTAGAAAACGAGAACTAAAGCAATAGCAAGAAGCAAAGCACAGTTTGATGATTCCAGTGAGATTCTTTTTTCCTAAATGCCATTCTTAATATTCCACTCCTGACATCTATTTATGTGACTTCTGAGACACAAACAAGTCATAAACTTCTTGACTTTTCAAGGAGCTGAGTTAGGAAGCTCATCCCAGATATCTTCTTTACCGCTCCAGATCTAATCTCCATCCTTTTCCAAATTGATCCATAGCCCAAGAGGCTGATCTTTGTGAAGTATGTCACTGGGCCTCCTAGTCCTATTGCTTCTTGTTGAGTTCAGTCAATGAAAAGTATCAACAGAAAGTGAAGAGAAGGGAGGATAGAGAAGCTGAAGTATGCATTCGCTCCACTCAACCGGAGGTGACAGCTTCTGTCACTTGACCCTTTCCACACATCTTTCTTTAATAACCATTTTTTTCCTTGCTCTCAAACTGTTTCTTTCCCCATGCCCTGCCATACCTTTGTAAATAATTCCTTTGTTAAACTTTCCTCAAATGCCTAATTTGAGTCTATGATAATTTTCACATCAGAAATATCATACTGAAATATAGTTACACATGCAGAAGATCAGCAGTAACTTGTAATAGAAGGTTCTGACAAAACCCTTGGCTTGCCAATAGTGTCTCTTAATTCTACATTGAATTTAATTCCAATTCACCATCTAGACATTTAAGTCACTTGTATTTTTTTTGCTCTGCCACATCTAAAATTATTCTCTAAAATCAAAACCAGGTAATTTATAGTGTGTTTAGTTCTATGCTACTTTATCACATGTGTAGATTGATGTAAGCTCAACTCAATCAAGATACAGAACTATTCCATCACCACACCTGTCTTCTTCCCCTTTACCATCCCTAACCTTGGTAACCACTAATCTGTTTTCCATCTCTATAGTTGTGTCATTTCGAGAATGTTAGGTAAATGGAATCATTCAGTTTGTGATCTTTTGAGATTGACTTTTTTCACTCAGCACAAAAGCTCTTGAGGTCCATCCGAATTAATGTATTAATAGTTCATATTTTTATTGCTAAGTACTAGTACTAGTAGGAGTGGTTTCAGTGTACTGCAGTTTATTTAACTATTCACCTGTTAAGGAACATTTTGGCTGTTTCCAGTGTTTGACTTTTACAAGTAAAGATGCTATGACCAATAGACAAGTTTTTGTGTTATCATTTCTCTGGGATAAGTGCTCAGGAATGTAACTGGTGCCTCACATGGTGTGTATTTTTATTTTTTTAAAGAAACTGCCAAACTCTTTTTCAGAGTAAGTTAGTCTGCCATTTACATCTTTACCAGAAATATATGAAATATCTAATCACTCTGTTCTCACTGTCATTTGGTATTGTCACAGTTTTTTAATTTTACCTGTTTTAGTAGTTGAATAGGGATATCTCATCATGGTCTTAGTATGTAATTTCCTAATGGCTGGTGATAATGAGCATCTTTTTATGTGCTTGTCATCCATGTATCCTCTTCAGTGAAATGTCTCTTCATATTTTTTGCCCATTTTCTAATTGATTCTTTTAAACTGTTGAGTTTTGAGAATTCTTTGCATATTCTACGTATGAGTCTCTTTCCAGATATGTGGTTTGCAAACGTTTTCTCCCTGCAGATGACAACATTTTAGCATAGAGCAGGGAGGCTTTCTAACTACATGCTACACAGTCCTGATCTTCCACTGCAAGTGCTGTCAGTTTATGTAATTATGGGAGATGGCACCTTTGATCTAAACCTCAGTATTTTCCAGAGCTGTGGCAGAGCCAAGGCATCAAAAGTGGATTTGGAAGAAGCAAACAGAGACAAAGCAGTTGAATGGAGTAGTACAAAAAGACAAGAGTGATGCCATATGGTGACTGAAACTGACACACTTTCGTAGCAAATATGAGACATTCCTTAAGGATTATCAGATTTCATTTGACAAGATTTGCAGGAGAATGTCTCCTATTTGAGTAGGTAGTGACAATTTAATAAAATTTCCTTACTAATCCCAGTGACACAGTGCAACTTGGGAAACACTCAACTGTTAGCCATTTTATTAATGTTTCACTCTAGTCCAAATGAATCTCTATTTCATTGACAGAACGGTAATCTGTAGTTTCTGTCTGTTCATCACCTAGTGTCTTTCAAAAAGTCATTTTCTATAGTTTCTTTCTTCTTGACAAGATATGTATCATATGTCTCAGATTTTTTGTTTGCTTGTTTTGTTTTTTTTCATGGATAATAAATACAAAATAGATCAAATGGTATCCAGTGTTCTTTAGGATCATTGCCTACATTCAGTGTTAGGCTTCAACAAGAGTCTGCAGTCAGCAGTATCAAGGAGCTCTCTTGCCTGTGATGGAAGTGAAATCGATTCCAACCTGTCAATTTCTTTGAAATCTGGTTCACTTACTACTTTTGAATAATGCATAGCATTTCTTTTTCCTCCCTTGTGTGGTTACTAGTAGATGAATTCACACTTTTCGGTTTATCACTTTCATTGTAATCTTTATTTGTCCAACTTTTCCTTCATTTTGCCTAAATCACTTTTAAAAATTATTTTATGTATATATTTTTAGTTTTACTAAGATATAATTGACATACAGCAGTATATGAGTTTAAAATGTACAGAATAATGACATGATATACATAGATTGTGAAATGATTACTACAATAAGTTCAGTTAAGATCAGTCACCTCATATAGTTAGAAAAAAATTTTATTATCCTTGTGATGAGAAATTTTACGATGTACTCTCTTAGCAACTTTCAAATACCATATAGCAGCGTTAACTATGGTCATCATGTTGTACATTAAACTCCCAGTGCTTTTATCTTCTAACTGGAATTTGTGTCTTTTGACCACCTTTACTCAATTCCCCCACCTTTCACCTCCCACTTCTGGTAACCACAAATCTGATCTCTTTTTCTATGAGCTTAGGTCTTTTTCCTTTTAGATTCTACATATAGGTGAGATCATACAGTGTTTGTCTTTCTCTGTCTGACTTATTTCACTGAGCATGATGCCCTCAAGGTCCATCTATGTGGTCACATATGAAAGGATTTCCTTCTGTTTTATGACTGAATGGTATTCAGTTGCATATATATACATTTCTTTTTCCGTTCATCAGTTACATCAGAAACAACCTAAGCGTTTGTTTCCATGTCTTGGCTATTATAAATAATGCTGCAGTGAACCTGGGAGTGTAGATATCTCTTCAGTATAATGATTTCACTTTTTTTAAAAATTTCTTTCTGGATATATATCCAGAAATGGGATTGCTGGATCATATGGTAGTTCTATTTTTAGTTTGAGGAACCTCCATAGTGTTTTCTATGGTGGCTGTACCAATACATTCCCAGTAACAATACACAAGGATTCCTTTTTCTCCACATCCTTGCTAGCATTTGTTGTCTCATATTTTTGATGATAGGCATTCTAACAGGCACGAAGTGATAGCTCATTGTGATTTTGATTTGCATTTCCCTAATGATTGGTAATGTTGAGCACCTTTTCATGTACTTGTTCGTCATTTGAGTGTCTTTGGAAAAATATCTATTTAGGTTCTTTGCCTATTTATTAGTGGGATTATTTGGTTTTTTTCTATTGAGTTGTATGAGGTTTTAAAACATATATGGGATATTAACCCGTTATCCCAGATATGTGATTTGCACATATTTTCTCCCATTTAATAGATTACCTTTTCATTTTGTTGATCATTTCTTTTGCTGTGCAGAAGCTTTACAGTTTCATGTAGTCTCACTTGTTTATTTTTGATTTTGTTGCTCGTGCAACAAAAAATTATTACCAAGACCCATGTCAAGGAGCTTTTTTCCTTTTCTCTAGGAACTTTACGGGTTCAAGACTTACACTTAAGTCTTTAATCCATTTCAATTTAATTTTTGTGAATGGTGTAAGATAAGGGTTTAGTTTCATTCTTTTATGTATGAATATCCAGTTTTTCCAGACCCATTTATTGAAGAGACCATCTTTTCTCCATTGCGTATTCTTGGCTCCTTGTCAAATATTAGTTGTGCACATATCTAGTGGTTTATTTCTGGGCATTCAATTCCATTCCATGGTCTGTGTGCCTGTTTTTTTTTTTTTTTTTTTTTTTTTTGCCAGTACCATACTGTTTTGATTGCTATAGCTTTAAAACATCTGGAAGTAGGATGCCTTCTGTTTTGTTCTTCTTTCTCAGGATTGCTTTGGCTATTCAGGGTCTTTTGTGGTTTCATACAAATTTTAGGATTGTTTTTCTACTTCTGAAAGAAAATGTCATTGGAATCTAGATAGGGATTTTATTGAATCTATGGATAGTTTTGAGTAGTATAGACGTTTTGACAGTATTAATTCTTCCAATCCATGAATATGGGATATTTTTCCACTTATTTGTGTCTCCTTCAATTTCTTTCATCAGTTTTTTTAGTTTTCAGTGTAGAGATCTTTGACCTGCTTGGTTAAATTTATTCCTAAGTATTTTATTGTTTTTGATGCTATTGTAATTGGATCATTTTCTTTATTTCTTTTTAGATAATTCATCATTAGAATATAGAGACACTACTGATTTTTGTATTTTAATTTTGTATCCTGCAACTTTACTGAATTTGTTAATTAGATCTAACAGTTTTTTGGTGGAATCTTCAGGATTTTTAATTTATAATGACGTGTCATCTGCAAAGAGAGACAACTCTAGTTCTTCCTTTCAAATTCAGATGAGTTTTATTTCTTTTTTTTTGCTCTGGCTAAGACTTCCAGTCCCATGTTGAATGGAAGCGTTGAGAAAGGGCAGTCTTGCCTTGTTCCTGATCTTAGAGGAAAAGATTTCAGTCTTTCACTGTTGAATATGGTGTTAGCCATGGGATTGTCATAGATGGCCTTTGTGATGTTGAGTTATATTGCTTCTATACCTAATTGTTGAGAATTTTTGTCATGAATGGATGTTGAATTTTGTTAAATGCCTTTTCTGCATCTATTGAGATGATCATATGATTTTTATCTTTCATTCTATTAATGTGATGTATCACATTTATTGATATGTATTTGTTGAACCATCCTTGCATCCCAGGGATGAATCCTGCTTGATCATAGCGTATGATTCTTTTAATGTGCTGCTGAAATTAGTTTGCTAGTATTTTACGGATAATCTTTGCATCTATATTCATTGGGGATATTGGCTTATAGTTTTCTTTTCTCAAAGTGTTTTTATGTAGCTTTGGTATCAGGGTAATTCTGTCCTCATAAAATGAGTTAGGGAGTGTCCTCTCCTCTTTGATTTTCTTTTGAAGAGTTTAAGAAAGATTGGCATTAATTCTTCTTTAAATGTTTGGTAAAATTCACCAGTGAAGCATCTGGTCCTGGGCTTTTCTTTGTTGGGAGACTTTTGATTAATGATTCAGTCTCCTAGTAGTAATTAGTCTATTCACATTTTCTATTTCTTCCTAATTCATTCTTGATAGATTGTATGTTTCTGAGAATTCATTCAGCTCTTCTAGGGTGTCCAATGTTGGTGTTTGGGTGTTCATAGTAGTCTCTTATGATCCTTTGTATTTCTGTGGTATCAGTTGCAATATCTCTTCTTTCATTTATAATTGTGTCTACTTGGGTCCTCTCTTTTTTTTCTTGGTTAGTCTAGCTCAAGTTTTGTCAATTTTGTTTCCCTTTCAAAAAGCCAATTCTTAATTTTGTTAATATTTTCTATTTTTTCATTCTCCATTTATTTCTGCTCTAATCTTTATTATTTCCTTTCTTCTATCTTTGGGTTTCGTTTGTTTTCTTTTTCTAGTTCCTTGAGGAGTATACTTGCGTTGTTTATTTGAGATCTTTCTATTTTCTTGATTCATGTGTTTATAGCTATAAACTTCCGTCTTGGAACTGCATCCCGTAAATGGTATGGTATGTTTTTCTATTTTTGTTTGTTTCAAGATACTATTTAATTTCTCCTTTGACCCATTGGTTTATCAGGAGAATTATTTGATTTCCATCTATTCATGAGTTTTCAAGTTTTCCTCCTGTTATTGATTTCTAGTTTCATACCATTGTGGTCACAGAAGATATCTGGTATGATTTCAGTCTTTTTGAATTTGATAAGACTTGTTTTGTAGCCTAACATATTATCCATTCCATAAAATGTTCTGTGTGTACTTGAGAAGAATGTGTATTCTGCTGTTGTCAGATAGAATGCTCTGTATATGTCTCTTAGGTCCATTTGGTCTATAGTGTTGATCAAATTCACTATTCCTTATTGATATTTCTGTCTGGATTACATATCCATTATTGAGAGTTGGATGTTAAAGTCCCCAAGAATTGTTGTAATGCTGTTTATTTCTCCTTTTAGTTCTGTTGGAACGTGTTTTATATATTTAAGTACTCCAATGTTGGGTGCATAAGTATTTACAGGTGTTATGTCTTCTTATGGCTTGGCCACTTTATTATTATATAATCACATATTTTGTGTCTTTTTGTCATTTTTAGTTTAAAGTCTATTTTGTCCAATATAAATATAGCTGTCCTTGTTTTTGGGCTACCATTTACTTGAAATATCTCTTTTCATCCCTTCACCCTCAGTGACAGTACCTTTCTGTCAAGGAAAACAATTCTTCTTGTAAACTCTTAGACAATGAGTTTCATTCACTTCTGTGTATTTCATTTGCCATCTTTGAACATAAAAGAGATTTTTCCCTCTCACCCATCAATTTATGTGGAACCATTACTGAATGTTGTGTTAAAAGGTCTCTGCCAGTCAGTGTCTCCTGCCCAAAGAATAAATAGCCCCATTCTGATTGTTGCTGTCTGCTTTGTAAGCCAAAACTTTCAAAATGGAAAGCCATTTGCCAAATTAAATCCACAGATGTGTTTTTGTGGGTTTGAAGAATGATTTTAAAAAAGAACATACATGTATTTCATACGGCATCTATACTTCACTTTGCTGCAGTCCCCATGACACCCAACCTATACTCACTTTATTGCTTTGCCTCTGAAAGCTTTTCACTTGGGGTTGCTGATGTACACTGATAAAGTTAACTGTCCTTTCTAGTTCAAAGAACATCTTCAAATACATTGTCTAACTGACATTTCACAATTACCTTATAAAGTCAATTATGGTATCTCCTTTTTTCTGAAAAAGAAAATAAGACTTAAGTGAGTCACCCAATAAGATGTGTTCAGAGGTAAAGGCTATAACCAGACAAATGCATTGAAGTAGTCCAGTGTGCAACTCATATAGAATCCATTATGAATCGTTTGTTACATTAACTCTTCATGGCTTAAAAAAATTAAAGCCTTCTCCACATACTAGAGATAGGTAATCACTAATACTTATGCAATAATTATATTTATATTTGAATAAGCTCATATTTATACTATAATTTATACATGTTTATACTATCAAAATTGTATCTCATATAGATTGTTTTAAATAGCTTTAATAAAAACATTTTAAGGTTTAGAATCATTCAATTGAAGACTTAGAGAATGCAAAGAACATCTAATTTTATTTCTTTATTTTTCAGGAGTAGAACCACCACCTAGAGAGAATTGTGATGCTCAACATTACATAACTCCTTAGAGCTAGATCTGGAACTAGAGTTTTTTCAAGTTGTACTTTTATCTCAGACAAATAAATATTGAAATTATTTAATTCATTACTTTGTCTTTATCTCTTTTAAGATCCAGTATGCAGTAAACATTCAAATTTGTATAAAAGTGTGGTACACAAATTTCCCTGAAAATCTTTAGAATGTCTCAAGTTCTAGATATAAAACTACCATAGAGTCAGACTCTACTGAACCACTGGAAATAATGGTGATAGAAAACAGTTATTGAGGAAATGGGATGGATTCATAACATTTCTCTGAATCAGAATGTTAGAATATGTTCCTTTAAAATGTTCTTTATTTGAAAAACTGCCTGATACAGAAGAAGTTCTTTGTCAAGTAACGTAACAGGGAAAAAGAATTTTGCAGCTGTGGGTCTTTGAGAATACCTGTCTATTAATATATATTATTAATATATATGACATATACATACATATATGTGTATGTCTACATATCCTATTGGTGGTGTAACAAATTACCACAATCTTAGTGGCTTAAAAAACACAAATTTATTATCTTACACTTCTGAAGTTCAGAAGTCTAAATTGTATCTCAGGGCTGAGTTCCTTCTGGAGACTCTTAGGAAGAATCCATTTCCTTACCTTTTCCAACTATTGCAGGTTCTCCTCATTGCTTGACTCATGGCCCACATCAAATTGCCTTTTCTCTCTCTACTCCTGCTTAACCTCACATTGTTTTGACTCTGACTCCTTCTGTGTTCCTTTTATAAGGATCCTCATGGTTACATAGAGCCCCCTGAGCTAGTTCCACATAATCTCCCTGTCTCAAGATCCTTAACCTGATCAAATCTGTAAAGGTTTTTTTGCCCAATAAGAACATTCACAGGTTCCAGGGATTAGGATGTGCACATCTTTGGTGTGACCATTATTCAATCTCTCTCTCTGTCCTATATATTGTTAAGACACAGTTCTCTACTTAATCTTCTGTCTGTCTCATTCCAATCATGTTAAAGGGCTCCTTTCAGTTAACTCAGCTAAAACAATGCAAACCTGAAGTTAGGCTAACATATCTTGAGGGTCCAAAACTTTCAAGTCAGTTGATTAACATATGCCATCTTATTTAATTATCAAAAGAATATTTTAGGGGCCAGCCCCCTGGCCAAGTGGTTAAGTCCGTGCACTCCACTTCAGAGGCCCAGGGTTTCACTGGCTTGGATCCTGGGAGCGGACATGACACCGTTTGTCAAGCCATGTTGAGGCGGCGTCACACATGTCACAATTGGAAGGGCCCACAACTAAAAATATACAACTATGTGCTGAGGGGATTTGGAGAGAAAAAAGCAGAAAAAAAAATATTGGCAACAGTTGTTAGCTCAGGTGCCAATCTTAAAAAAACAAAAAAGAATATTTTAGTTTAATAGCTGAGGACGCTCCTTATAGTTTAGGAAGATTAAGTAACTTGCAAGTTACATGACTATTAAGAATGAGATATCTTTATAACATAATACATAAACACATCTGAAATGTATAGGATAACTTAAATGTAATAATTCAGGCTTGACTCTTATCACTCTACCATGCTGCTTGCTGAACAATTCACGGCAGAAAATAGAATAGCTTCTTCAACAGGGAAGTAAATGAAAAAGAGAGGGAGAAAAAGTGTGTATGCATGTGGACTTAAATATTAAAACAAAGTGAACATTGATCATTTTCCAAGCATAGAGTTTAAAGATTTCCCCTTCACACTTGACAGTATGTATAGTTCACATATCCTGCCTTTTAGTTTTAATGTAATAAATAACACATTTATGTCAGAGCATGAAATGAGCCATAAAGGAATTTACAAGTCTTATATAGTCTAAATATTGGGCATTTGGAAAACTATTTCTTTGAAAAGATAAACATTTAAAATATTTTGAGAAAAATTAAAAATAACTTCTCTGTGATAATAGCTGCTTTTTATCCTCTCTTTAACATTGGATTATTTATTCTTTGAAGAAATATGTTTTAATCCAACATCTCGTTTGCAGCAGTGAACAACAGCTGAAAGAGGGAAAGAACTTATCATATATTAAAAAATATTTGTTTTTCTAATTCTGCCTATAAATTGACCTTCTCATATGCAAAAAGGATATGTTCAACTCCAGACGAAATTAAATATTTTTCCATCATTAAAAATCTTGGGATTAATTAACATAATTCCTCAATTAAATAAAGATGTATGTGAACTGCTTTATAATATATGGAAATTATTAAAATCTATGTGGATCATAGGTGTATGACTATACTTTCCAACTAAACATAAAGTACACATCATATGGTAAAAATATTATGCAGATTTATTAAATTTGACAAAAAGGGAATATGATTTCAGAATAAATTGGAACCACTAAGAGACACAAGGACAACCAGTGCTGCATCATTAAATGCTTAACAAATGATAATTTGAGGCAGATCAGAATGCAGTTTTTACTTAAAATCTCTGTGCTTCATGTTGATTATAATAAGGAATCAATGAAATGCCTAAGTAGAGATTTTCTGAATTATATCCAAGTGTCTAGGGAAATTCTCTAAAACTTTGATTCATTTTATTAGGAAGCATTTTGTTTACTTAAAAAATGACAACTATGTGAAATAAAGAAGATGTTGAGATTAATCTCTTGCTTTCTTTTTCCTTAGAATTTTTTATCTTACTGGCTCCAAAATGATGATCAAATGATACAAAATAGTCCTATAAATGAATTGTTTTTGCACCTCAGAAAACAACTCTCCAAAACAAAAAATTCTCTCACGCAAATTCCACAAATCATAATGACCACAGCCCAGTGTATTTTCTAGATTTAAAAAAAATCCTTACTTGTCACTTGTTGGTTATTAGGGTGAAAATTAGTGAGCTGTTCCAAATTTTCCAAACGTGATCTCAAGTATTTTCCCTTCTTACATATAAAGAACAGCATTAGAAATTTATAGTGCATCTGTTGTACTTAAAGGTAAATTAAATTGTTTTTTGCAACTGAGAGTTGTAGGGAAAAGAAAACAAATAATTTTGCAGATAGTTGTATGTTCCTTAGAACTAACATCAAGAATGAATAGAATTATGTTAGAGATAGACAAAATAAAGTTAAAGTACTTCTGCTGCATGACCAATCTTATTCTATGCTTCTGATTAATTATATGCCTTTTTTTTTTTCTTGGCAAGAAATGAATTGGTCCCAAATTATAATGGCAACAAGCAGAAATATTTCCTTCTAATTCGTTCCCCAATGTACTGTGAAGGCCAAGCTGTAAAATTTAACAAGTATATGCTGCAATTCGGGGGCTTATGGAAAGAAACTCCTGCAGATGTGTGTGAACTGCTTCTTATCAAGATACCCAATGGATTTTTTAAAGGACCACTTCAAGTTAATTCTTTAGCTTTAAGAGTATTACAGATATTTCCAAATTTTGGTGTCCAAGCTAAGCGATTCTGATGCTCAGAGAAAGGAAGTGGTTATTCTCAGCCAATAGTAAGACTTATTTTCTAATTTCTCTCCTCCAATTTCTGCTTGAGAATTTACCTTTCCCAGGTGTAATAGACATAGGACTATTTACCCTTCTGGAAAAATTCTATAAAAAGTATAGTGATATATCTTTTCCCTTTGTATTCAGAATAGATCAGACCATCTACCAAAGTGGAGTATAAACTTAATACACTTATAGAAAACATTGAATCCTGTGTGGTTGAGATGTGCCATAGTCACGTTGTATCCTTTTTATTCTGTTTTATGTGAGCTTAAAATAAACTTGTATGTCCTTCAATCTGATCTCTCCATTCCAGCTCTTTATTTCCTATAAACAATTTATCAAAGATGCACACACACACCACTCAAAGCATATTCAATATAAAGGTATATGCAGCATATTAAATTTATGCTTAGAGAAGAGTGTCATTATCCAAAGCATGATTTAGTTCTTACTATTCCTGAATGAAGTGAAAAACTAAAGACAATGTAAGGAGTTATTAATAAAGATAAGTATACAGTTTTGGTATTTCATTTCATGAATAATAACAGTTAATAATAATTTTCTTTATTTTGGTTTGTTTATATCCTCATGACAAAACAATGAATAACCAAACCTATCTACATTCCCACAACTTTGACTGTTCTGAAAGCTTTTATTCCTTCAATTCCATTCATAAAATTTTCCTTAAAATCTGTCCTATATTTATATATCCTTCCCTTTTGGCCATGGCTGATTTATCTGGCAATTGGCATATGAATTATTACCTGCTATAGAGCTTTGGGACTTGGGACCTGAGAGAGCACTAGAGACAGTCACGTGAGTTGTATATGAATATGTTTTTCACCAAATGGATAAATCCAGAAAGCTGAACTGCCACAATAATGAAAAGTGAATGAAACATGGCAAAGTGCAGGGGGAAAAAAAGATAAAAAGAGGCAATGAAAGAAGAAAGATCATCTTAGTATTTTATTTCTGGTTTACAGATTTTCTTGAGGTTAAGGTCTTTTGTGAAATACACCAATCTCCTTCTAGTAAATTTACCATTTATCTAAATATATTTTGCTTTGTCGTAAAGATATTCTGTCATATTTTCTAAAACTTGAAAATTTTGCTTGTCATATTTTAGTCTAAGACACTTGGATCTTGTTGGATTTAGTATCTATACATAAAATGAATGAGATCGTAATATGTGAAGTGGTGGAGGGCTGAATAAAGAACTAAACTAAACTAGGTAGAGTGGACTAAAGGTAGGGTCCTCCCTGGCAGACATTACATGGAGACTGCCTATGAAGTTTACTCCCCAGCTAAACTCTTAGGATTTTCTGAAGAATCTATAAAAACCAGAAGTTTTTTCTTTCATATCTGTTAAAATCAGGTTGGAATAATAAAATTATTCAGATTCTTGATAGTTATGAATCTGAGAGACTCATTAGAACTTAATTCTATGTTTTTGTTTCTTCTACTGATCGACAAACACAGTATGACAACTGACAGAAGGGTGGTATGGTTCTCTAGCTAGGAAATGAACCTGGACTGTGGTGGTGAGAGCACCTAATCTTAACCGTTAGATATCAGGGCTG